CCCTCCCCAACATCCTGGAGTTGTCTGTTGTACACAACTATCAATACCTGTGTTTTATGTTGATAGAGATATATACTGTAAATAGCATATATACTTGAGCAATATATACGTTAATATATTCTGCGTGCGTGAGCGTGGACACGTGTGGCCCAGCACGTCGGCCACGCGCACACAGACACCTTTGAGCCACCGAGTTTTTGAATTCAAGTATATAGGCAATGCCTTCAGAGGGCAGGCCACGGTGGCTCAGGCCTCGCCGGTGGGGAACGGAACCCACGCCCCCACCCCCACCCCCGAGCCTGGGGCAGGAGTGGGCCTGCGCCCTTTTGGCATGCCTGTTTGATTGGGGGAAATGCTGAGCCAGGGAAACAGGAGTTGGGACTTGTTGCTTTGAAACAGGCTGGTCCCCTCCCTAGCCAGGATCACCCCCCACCCCCACCCATCCTCGGATGGCTATGAAGCTGGGGATGCCCGCCTTGTATCCAAGCTCAGAGATGTCTGGCTTTCCCTAGCCTGATGTGCACCAGCCCTGTGTGAGCCAGGTGGTCCCTGCTGTGTGGGGGCCCACTACCCCCCTCCCCCGGCTTGTTGAATGTGAGGGTGAGTCCGGGTCCTGTGTGGAGACACGTGTTTCCATGGCGTCTGCGAGGCTCCCTGGGTGCTGGCTGTGAGGTCTGAGTGAGTGAAGTGTGAACACTGAGATCTTGCCCTGGCGTGTGACAGCGCTCTTCTGTACCCTCAGCCTAGTTCTGGCCCAGCTAGATGACAGCTTACACCCCCAAAGATGCATGTGGCCCTGAGCCCATCGCCTCCCCTCCCCAAGACCCTGGGGCAACGCCTCCAAACCACCAGCCCTTGCCCTTGCCAGAGGCAGGGCCCTGTGGGCAGGGGTGGCACGGGGCCTGGGCCTGGTGCCTTGGCCCCCACCAGGCAGCTGGACCATTACTGACCAGTCTGGTGTCCAGCAGACACTTGGTCTGATGAGGCCCCTGGAAGACATGGAGTCAGAAGGGAGGACTTGGGCAGGTGCCAGGGCGAAGCCCTGCCCCCCACCAACCCTGTGTCACCATGTGATTGAAGTTCTTCAAACAGGGAGGCTGGGCCTTGTGCCACCAGTCCCCGATCCATCCTGGGCCAGCTCTGAGCCTCTAGGTTAGACTATGTAGGACAAAGGCCCCACTTTGGAGACACCCCACCCGCTGTGGCCATGAGGGCCATGGCTCTCCAGCAGGAACAAGGCAGATCCTTGGATTTCCTGCCACTCTTGGGTGCAGCCCAGAGGGAGGAGGTGGGGGTGATAGTCTGGGGTGCCCCCACGGCCTGGGAGACTGCTCCATGCTTCCCATTTCCTCCATCTTCAAACTCACCCCAGCCCTTTGCAGCCAGGCATGCTTACCTGTCCCCGCTCTTTCCCGCAGACAGGTGAGGGAGCAGCCGCCACTCCAAAGACTGCTCACCAGGGAAGGCAACCCAGTTGGCCTCCGGGCCATGGCACTGGGGGATGGCCGGCCTGCTGGTGGAAGTTTGTGGCTCTTGGTCTAACAGGAGGCAATAGACACCAGGCCAGGCCCTGTGGGCCAGGGTGCTGTTCAATGTGGAATTCAGTTCATGCATGTGTGTGCCTGTATGTGTGTGTGTGTGTGTGGACATGTTCTAGGCATGAGCCTGTGTGTGTGTGTGTGTGTGTGTGTGTGTGTGCAGAGCCCAGCCAGGGACTGGTTCATTCAGTATTCAAAGTCCTTGGGAACACCCTCTAGGCTCTGGCTCCCAGGAGAAAGGGGTTGTCCAGGTAAGATGGCCTCACCCCAGTGGGTGCGGGCAGGACAGAGGTATCTAGCAGCCGGCCAGGCCTGCCCAGAGTAGGGGCTCTTCAAATAACCCCAATTCTGAAGACAGTATTCACAGAAAGAGGAGGTGCCCCTCATCCATGGGGGCTCTTCTGGGAATAGAGGTACAAGGCAGGGCCAATTCAGGGCCCCACAGGCCATGCCCAGTGCATTTCCTTGTCCACTGCCTCAGTTTCCCTATTATGAGACTGATCCAGGAAGGGTTGGGCAGGGTTGCCTTGGGAACCATCGGGGACTGACAAGGATAGAATTCCTGGTCCCCCCTCTTGTTCTATGCCAAAATCATTTCCGTTATCCCGAGATGGAAGGGTGGATGGATGGATGGATGGATGGATGGATGGGGTTCAGGGGAGAGCAGGGCGGACACGCCCACCCTCAGCCCCCAACCCTCCTGGCACACTCACCAGCACCAAGGCACCTCCTTGGGCCTGGGCGATGGGGAGACCGGGCAACAGCACCCCAGGGCCCTCATGATTTCTTTTCTTTGTCAAAGAAACATAAAACCCTTGAAATTCATGTACTGTATGATGGAGAGAAAAAAAAATACTTAATGTTCCCTAAAAAAGACAGTATATTTTGTACTTTGTAAAGTGTTCATTAAAATGAAGGGGAAAAAGTGGTGGGCGCTGGTGGTCTGGTTTTGTGTGGGTTTACCCAGTCTCTTTCTCCTCCATGCTGTGGTTGGGGGGGACACAGGGTCAGGAGTGGGTGAGGGCAGGGCTGCCCTGAGGAGTAGCCCTCAGAGCCGGAGGGCTGTATTTACCACTGAAGCTCTGCGAGGGGCCCCAAAACTTACCATCACACAAGCCGTGGCACGTAATCGGGGACAGTTTGCCTGGGCCACGCGTGGGTCATCCTGCCAGTCTTCATGTCCTGGCCCATTTCCTGTTCCTCTAGCCGAATACCTGAGCCTGCCTGCTTCATAAAGGAGAGGTGTTTTTTGGTTTGGTTTGGGTTTGCTTTTTTTGGGTCGGTTGTGAGGTTTGAACTCTGGGCCTAGACAATGTCCCTCAGCTCTTCAGCTCAAGGCAACAGCTCTTCCACTTGAGCCACAGCGCCACTTCCCGTTTTCTGAGTGGTTAATTGGAGATAGGAGTCTCACGGTCTCTCCTGCCTGGGCTGGCTTTGAATGCGATCCTCAGATCTCAGCCTCCTGAGTAGCTAGGATTACAGGTGTGAGCCACGGGCGCTCAGCAAGAAGAGGTTTATGAAGCTCCTGGGTTGGGAGGTCCAGCTCAGCATGGCGGTGTATCCTGGTACAAACTTGTGGGAGAGGGACCCAGTCACATGACAAGACAGGAAGCCGGAGGGGCTGGGGGCTGGGCTGACTCTTCACAAATACTCAGTGTTTTTGTGTGTGTGTCTGTGCCAGTTCTGAGGCGTGAACTCAGGGCCTGGTTGCTGTTCCTGAGCTTTTGTGCTCAAGGCTGGTGCTCTACCACTTAAGCCGCAGCTCCACTTTCAACTTCTTGATGGTTCATTGGAGATGAGTCTCATGGACTTTTCTGCCAACGCTGGCTTCCAACCACAATCCTCAGATCTCTCCCAATCCTCAGCCTCTTAAGTAGCTAGGATTTCAGGCATGAGACACAGGCACCTGGCTAACAACTCACTGTGGCAGGAACTAGCCAGTATCCCTGAGAACTACTTAAATACAGTCCAAGGCCACACTCCCACTGATCCTGCCTCTTAAAGGGTCCACACGGCACCAGCATGTGGCTGTGGGGCCTCAAACCACTGTACTGAGGGCATCAGCTCCTGAAGTGGTTGATTCTGTGGGAAACCAGGCAGGCCTGGTTGAGGCACAAGGCCATGGTTCTTCCCACAGGATGGGGAGTTTCCTCACAACATGGCACCTGCCCCCTCCAGTTCAAGGGAACCAGAATCCATTCGCCACTGCCCGCACCATATTCTGTAGTTACCTGACCCCAGCAGAAGTGACATGGGGGCAGGGGGGGGGGGAATGAGGGCACAGGCCCACCACCCCCACCCCCTGGACCCCTGCCTGAAACCTCCTGGGCAGAGGCCCAGCAGCCCCGCACAGCTCCCGCCCTTCTGCATTCCACCTGGGCCCCCAGGGCCTCATGGGCAGCGGATGATGAGAATGACACGGGGACACGGCGTGCCGCGTGGCCTCCGCGCTCTGCTCACTGGAGCGCGAGGACAGCAGGCTTGCAAAGCTCTTATCGCAGCACGGAGCGCTGTTTCTGCTTAGCTGACAAGAGCAGGCCCGAGCAGATGGCAGCCAGGAGAGCCTAATCGTGACCAGGGCCCCACTTCCAAAACCAACCCTAGCACAGCCTGTACACTAGCAACCATGTTCATGGTGACTGTGGGGAGGGGAGATACCACGTGGCCTGGGCTAGTCCTGCTCTTCCTCTCAGCCTAGCGAGGGCCAAGATTACAGGCATGGGCCAGAGCATCCAGCCGCTAGGTATTCTCATTGCTGTATCTGTAGGTGGGTGGCCATTTGTGGGTTTGAGATCCTAACTTCCAGATAATCAATCCCAGGACCATCGTGAGCAGAACCCTCCCCCTGCTTCCTCCACCAACTCCCATCCCAGCCTCCAGAGGTGACCTCAGACCTAGCCCAACTAAGGTCTTCAGAAAGCAGAATGACACATTTTCTAGTACTATCTATGTAACCCTAGTTTGGCCTCACATTCTCAATCCTACTTCAGCTTCCTCTGTGCTCTTTGTCAAAAGCCTTGTTTGCCAAAGCTAATCTCATAATGATAAGTAATAAAAGACTTTTTGTCAGCCAGGCCCAGTGGCTCACACCTGTAATCTTAGCTACTCAGGAGGCTGAGATCTGAGGATTGCAGTTCAAAGCCAGCCCAGTCAGGCAAGTCCATGAAACTCTTTATCTCCAATAAGCCACCAGAAAACCAGAAGTGGTGCTGTAGCTCAAGTGGCAGAGATCTCATCTTGAGCTGAAGAGCTGAGGGACAGCGCTCAAGCCCCACGACCGACAAAAACAAAACAACAAAAAAAAGACCTCTTGTTCTTAAGCAGAAAATAGATTTTATTCTAGAACGTGCTTTTAAATGATGCTTTTCCAGGAGAGACATGTTCTAAAACAAAGGTTTCCCCCAGTTTTGGAATCTTCTCCAGGCCAATGCCCAGCCAGGTGCAGCTGTGGCCTGGCACTGCGGCCCACTGGTGCAGGCTGGCACAGGCCCGGGCCGAGGAATCCAGGGCTGGCGGGCCATATGCGTGCACACAGCATGTGGGCACAGTGACTGGTCATCAGAACTAAGGCCCAAGGCAGCCAGGCCCTGCGGGGACAGCTGAAGTGTCAACAGAGGGTCCAGCGCCTCCCAAGTGCCTCCCCTGCCACACAAGCACAGAACTGCCATGCGCACCTGGCAGGTGATGGCCATCCTCGAGCCCCCAGTCAGTGCCCAGTGTCCTTTGGAGGGTGCTGCCACCTCCCAGTGCCATTGGAGCCATTGCAGGGCCGCTGGCCCCGCTCCGCCGGGCACTCACAGCCCAGGCCCAGCAGCTCCAGAGGCTCAGACGAAAGACTTGGCCAGAGTCACCATGTGGTCCACCCCACACGCCACGTCCACAGGCTGGCCGGGCAGCGTCACCTGCAACAGAGAGCGCACAGCATGGTCAGCCACAGGCCCCGGCACTGCCCTGCCTGGCTCAGCCTTTCCCGCCTGGGTTAGAGGCAGGAACAGGCCCTGCCACCAGCCAAGCGGACCCCTTCCCCCGCCCTCGGGGACACAGCCCAGCTGTCACTAGGGTGGCTGGAGCCTGTGCTTCCTAGGGTTCACCGTTCTATGTCCTTGGAGATAGATACCCCAACCCGTCTTGGGCCTATCTCAACCTGTCCCCAAGAGGACATGTTCTCTGTTTTTCTTTTGTTCTTAGTTTTCTTGCTTCATTTTTTTTTTCAGACAGGGTCTATGATATATAGCCCTGGCCAGCCTCAATCCTCTTGCTTCAGCCCACCAAGGGCTGGGATTACAGATGTGTGGAACCACGCCTGGCTTTCCCTATTTATTATTATGGCTAACAGGCAATTCGATCACAATGCCACACTACAAAGGGTGAAAAAGAGCAAAGTATTAAATGTCTCTTCCTATTCCACCACCCTCTGCCCCCCGCGTAACTACAAACTAAATGCTTGAGTCCTTCCAAAGGATGGTGGTGGTTGTCTGGAATTACCACACTACAACCATGCACACGCAACAACCACACACACGCAACAACCACACACATGCAACAACCATGCACATGCAACAACCATGCACACGCAACAACCACGCACATGCAACAACCGTGCACAGGCATGGAGGGGTGCTGGGCAGATGGCCTGGCCGAACAGTGGCAGATGCTGATCGCAGCTCTGCACCTGAGCCAAGGGCTCAGGCCATTAGGGGCTGCTCCTGACCACAGAGGCAGAAGCGAGGCGCCCGTCCTTTCCTGCCTCACCAAACAGCTGGGGCAGATATCACTGAGCAAACACAGGCGATGGCGGGCAGTGAGCCCTGGCGCTCCTGCTGGCCCAGACCACAACAACGGCCGCCAGGTGGACTCCTAGCAACCTCTGCCTTGAGAGCTGTTTACCTCCCCACAGAAGCCAAGTGAGAGTACGAGTCTGAGCTGAAGCCCTAGTAACGGCATTAAAAAAAAAAAAAAAGTGGGATGTGGGGTCACGGGTTTGGTTTGTGGCTTTTTTTTGTTGAAACAAGATCTCAGTTATGTTGCCCAGGCTGCCTCAGTCTCCCAGTGAGCGCTGGGATTGTGAGCATGTAGCACCGCACCCACAACAGAGGCTCTGCACTCAAACACAACAGTTCCTGGTAACTTAAAAGAGCCAGCACAGGGCTGGGGAGGTGGCTCAGCGGGAGAGGACTTGCCTAGCACTCTTGCCTGGGTTTGATTCCTCAGTACCACATAAACAGAAAAAGCGGGAAGTGGCACTGTCAAGGACAGTGCCCTGGCCCTGAGTTCAAGTCCCAGGACTGGCAAAAAAAAAAGACCTACTACAATTGGACATCCTTTCCCCTTTAGTTCTGTAATGGGCTTCGTGTACCACACCCCAGCGCTCAGCTCTGCCTGCAGTCTGCCAGCAGGCGCATGCTTGCTCACTTGCTTTTCCCTTCTTCGGCTGCTGGGACTGAATGGGCTGTGTGTGTGCACCCCTCAGCCGCGCAGGGCCTCTGAGCCACCCCCAGGCCAGCCGGCTTTCCAGCTCGGCAGAAAGCATCCACCAGTGCGGGCTTGGCTGCGGGCTCCCTGAGGCCATGGCTGGGGTGGTGCCCGCGGCGAGGCGGGTCCTGAGCCCCAAGTCCTAGCTCACAGGGCACTGAGAAGGGCAGCCAGGGCCCACCTTACCCGCCACGGGAAGTACTGGTCGTCCAGGCGGCCGATGCCCAGGCAGCCACGCACATTCTTACCCCACACGAACAGCTCGCCTCGGTCTGCAAGGCAAGGAAGGCACTGGGAGCGAGGAGCCCTCCCGCCCTCACCCAGCCCCACCCACACAGTACAGCCAGGCCCGTGCTGCCCTCTTTCCTTAAGAGGTCCTGGGCCTTGAACTCAGGGCTTTGCAAATGCCCCGCCGCTGCCCCTCCCGAGGGCGCCGCCCCCACAGCCCCGCCCCCTCCCAGCATCCCTTCCTGTGCCCTCCCCCCCCCACTCACCAGTGATGGCCGCAAAGTGGCTGAGCCCGCACCGGAGGCGCGCCACCTGGACATCGGGGGTGAAGTCCGTGGCTCCAAAGAGCGAGGGGGGGATCATCTCGGGCAGTGCTGTCTCCACCAGCCCTGGCCCCTTCCCGAGAATGCCGTAGCCCCAGACGAAGACCTGTCCTTCCTCTGTGGGGCACAGCCAGTCAGGGGCCTAGGCCGGCCGCCTCCATGCTGCCCCCTCCCCACGCCGCCCTCTATGGCAGAGACTTGGTTGTTTTGAGTTAGGGTCCTCACTACTAGCCCAAAGTCGCCTTGAACCTACAACTGCCACCACACGAGGCTGTGGGTCTGTTTTGTTTTGCAGGGAGGGAACCAAGCGGGCTTGACCACGAGCTGGACCCAGCTCTGGACCTGGCTCTGGCCAAGTCGGCCCGGGTAGGGGCACTGGTGGCAGAACACACGCGGGGCACACACAGGCCCAGAAAAGGAACTTTAATACTTTTTTTTTTCTTTTTGTCTGTCGTGGGGCTTGAACTCTGGGCCTGGACGCTGTCCCTCAGCTTTCAACTCAAAGCTAGTGCTCTACCACTTGAGCCACAGTGCCACTTCCAGCCTTTTCTGTTTATGTGGTGCTGAGGAATCGAACCCAGGGCCTCATGCATGCAAGGCAAGCGCTCTACCACTGAGCCACCTTCCCAGCCCCCAAAACTTTAAGTGGTGGCAGGTGTTTAGGCCCAGGGCCTCGGGCTCAGCAATGCAGCAGCCCCTACTCTAGGATAGCACTACAGAGCTAAGCCCTGTCCACACTCCCACACATGTCCTCCAGTCCCACCCAGTCCTCCCCAAGCCCAGCCGGGCAACCGCCTCACCATTGAGCACAGCACAGCCGGTGCCCCCGCATGCTGCCTGCTTCACCCTGCCCACCTTCGAGAAGGGCAGGTTCCGAGGGACATTGACCTATAAAGGAAAGCGTCTTAGGTTAGAGCCAATCCTGGTCCCCACATACCCACCCACCGGTGGGGACCTCACTAGAAATCAGAGGGGACCCACTTTCCACCCGTCTAGTCCAAGAGAAAAGACATCAGCAGCCAGCCAGCTCCAGCCACACTGTGCGGAACTGAGAGCCACACTGGGGCAGCAGGTGCATAGGCAGCCAGCAGACCCCCACAAGCCAGAGCTCACCTCCTAAGGAGCCAAGATTACAGTCTGGAGGCACTGAGCCCACACTTGCTACTGGGACTCCAAGGAGAGGCCAGGAAGAGGCCGTTTTATGACAGGTGCACTTCTGCAAAACCAAGCCCGCACCTGCAATCCCAGCTACTCAGTAGACTGGACATCCACAGGATCATGGTTTTGAAACCAGCAGGCAGAAAAGTCCACAAGACTCCATCTCCAAAATATCCCCAGCAAAAAACAGGATTAGAGGCATGGCTCAAGTGGTAGAGCACTAGCCATGAAATCAAGCTGGACAAGAAGGCTTTGAGTCCAAACCCCAGTACTAGCCAAAAAGAAAAAAGAAAGAAAGAAAGAAAAATGAAAAAGAAAAGCAGCTCTTAGAATCTTCTTTGCTGGTTCCAAACCTGTGTAGATTCCGTGACAGAGGCCAGCTGCAGATACTCAGAGTTCCCCCAACCGAAGACACCTCCATCGGCAGAGACGGCCAAGCAGCAATCCCCATAGGCGGCCACCTGGACGACCTTCACCCCCGAAAGGTCTCCACCAAGCCTGCAGGGGGCACTAGTGGTGTTGTAGTGACCCAGGCCTGCCACCACCAGAGACATGGATTTCAGTGACTTTCTCTTTGCTCACTGACCTAGGACCAGGCTGGTGGCCAGTGCTGGACAGTGATAGCAAACCACTCCCCTGCCGGCCCAGCTGCCCAAGGTCACATGACTCCTCAGAAGGGAACAGGACCAACTTAACTGACTGCAAAGTTTTAGAAAACCTTTCAAGATGAAATAGTACTATACAACAGACCTTTTTTTTTAGTCAGTCCTGGGGCCTGAACTCTGGGCCTGGGCGCTGTCCCTCAGCTCTTCAGCTCAAGGCTAGCGCTCTACCAGTTGAGCCACAGAGCCGCTTCCAGCTTTTTCTGTTTATGTGGTGCTGAGGAATCGAACCCAAGGGCCTCATTCATACAAGCACTCTATCACTGAGCCACCTTCCCAGCCCCCACAACGGACCTTTCTGACTATGCACAAATTAAAAGCTACTGCTCTTGTCTTTGGGGGTTTGGTGGCACTGTTGGGGGGGAACCCAGGCCCTTCCCATGCCTGCCGATCACCCAGACCAACAGCAATCCTACTGTGTCACTGATGGGGCTTGTGGAACACAAGGAAGCAGGCATGCCGGCATGCCCCTGAGGCCCAGCTCCTCAGGACACGAGGAGGAAGGCCTGACCTGTGTCCCCAGGCCCTGGGCCGCCCCAGGCAGGCAATGGGCCTTTACCTGTCTGCCCGTCGGCGCCCCATCCGCAGGAGTAGACTTCTCCTTTGTCCGTGAGGAAGAGGCTGTGGTCCTGACCGCATGCGACCTGCCAGACAGACGGGGCCTGCTGAGATGAAGTTCCAGCCAGCCCCAGCCCACTCCTCAGAGCCCCAGCAGCAGGGCGAGAGCAGCCAGCACCATGCCAGTCCCTCACCATCAACAGTGCTACTGGAGCTCAGGCCTATTTATCCCAGCTACTCAGGAAGCTGAGATCTGAGGATCACAGTGCAAAGCCAGCCTACACAGTAAAACCGGTGAGACGCTATTTCTGATTAACCAGTAAAAAGCTGGAAGTAGAGCTGTGGCTCAAGTGACAGAGGAAGCCTTGTGCAAAAGAGGAACACAGAACTAAGACATTGCCCAGGCCCTGAACTCAAACACCATTACTGACAAGAGAGAGACAGACAGAGACAGACAGACAGACCCAGGAGCCCCTCACCACCCATGCTCAGCTGTCTTCTGGGACCTTCCCACTGGGTCTTGGAAGCAGATCAGCCTCCAGCCAGCAGCACCCGCCCCTCTGCCATCAAACCCTTCCAGTCACCATGCCTGGCCTCAGGAAAGCCGTTGCCTCTTCAAGGAGGCACTCCCTCCCACTCCCAGCAACTCCAAGACCCCCAACGGTGTTCCATGAGGTACTGTAGGCACTCACTGTGTGTATTTCACACAGTACCTACTGTGTGCTAGGCACAGCCCTGTGCTCAGGAATGAAGCACCAGCCTGGATCACACATCCTGCCAAGTTGCAGGTGGCTTTGCTGCCGGGCGCCTCCTGCCCACCCCACTCCTTCCGGTCCTAGCCAACTCTGGAGTCACAGGAAGGGAAATAACTTGCAGCCTATTACAGGCAAATCACTAACTTCTACACTAAATGAGTTCAGGAACTTCCCTGCCCAACTTCCCATTACCCCACACGGCTTCAGGTCCTGTAAAAGCTCCCCTCGGACAGGAAGGTGCGCTTAGCATCCAGCTCTTACCTGGACCACTTGGCCGTCAAAGTCCTGCATCCGATGCACTCGGTGACTCTCCCTGCACGCCACATAGAACAGGGAAGAGACAAAAGCCAGTGAGGAGCCTGGTGCAGGGGCGCACACTTGGATTCCTAGCTATTCATGAGGCTGAGCTCTGAGGATCACAGCTGGAGGCCAGTCTGGTCAGGAAAGTCCATGAGACTCATCTCCAATTAACTACCAAAAAGCCAGAAGTGGGGCTGTGGCTCAAGTGGTAGAGTGCTAAAAAAGCAAAAATGCTCAAGGACAGCTGCCAAGCCCTAAGTTCAAGCCCCAGGACCAGCACAAAAAAGCAAATTCCAGCTTTTGTGCCAGTACCATGGCTTGCACTCTACCATCTGAGCCAGTCTACTCTTTCCCATCTGCTTTTTGCTAGTTATTTTGAAAATGGAGTCTAGCAACTTCGACTCAAAGTGACCTTGAGCCACAATCTTCAGATCTCAGCTCCTGAATAGCTAGGATTAGTCATGAATGAATGAGCCATGGCGCCTGACCCAACAATGATTTTTTTTCCCCCTGGTTGTGAGGCTTGAACTCTGGGCCTGGGCGCTGTCCCTGCGCTCTTCAGCTCAAGCCGAGCGCTCTACCGCTTGAGCACCATCGCCACTTCCAGTTTTCTAGTGAGTTATTATGAGATAAAAGTCTCGTTGACTTTCCTGCTCAGGCTGGCTTTGCACTGTGATCCTCAGATCTCAGCCTCCTGAGTAGCTAGGAAAACAGGTGACAGCCACCGGCACCTGGCTAACAATAATTCTTATAAACAATTTAGGAGACCAGAATGTAAGGAACTAGGATTTTTTTTTTTTTTTTTGCCAGTCCTGGGGCTTGATCTCAGGGCCTGGGCACTATCTCTGAGCTTCTTTGGCTCAAGGCTAGTTCCCTACCACTTGAGCCACAGAGCTTCTTCTGGCTTTTTGTGTTTATGTGGTGCTGAGCCCAGGGCTTCATGAATGCAAGCACTCTACCACTAAGCCACATTCCCAGCACAGAAATTTTTGTCAGTCATGGAGCTTGAATTCTGGGCCTGGGCACTGTCCCTCAAGCTCTTCAGCTCAAGTCTAGCGCTTTACCACGTGACCCCCCAGGGCCACTTCCAGTTTTCCTGGTTGTTTGTGGAGATAAAGAGTCTCATGGACATGTGAAGGGTAAACCAAAGGAGGAGGCTGCAATGCTTGGTAAGAAATGTACGCATTATCCTGCCCATGTAATTGTAACCCCTCTGTACAGTATGTTCACAAATAAAATTAAATTAAATTAAAAAAAAAAAGAGTCTCATGGACTTTACTGCCTGGGCTGGCTCTGAACCACGATTCTCAGATCTCAGGCTCTTGAATAGCTAGGACCTGGCTAAAAACTTGATTTTATTACTATCATTTTGCATTTTATTTCATTGTATTTTGTTGTTCTGAGGAAGGCTCTTGCAGGCAGCCTGGTTGTCTTGGATCTTAGAGGGGTTTTAAACTCCAAAATGAAAAGACAGACATGAAGCAAAGTTGTGTTTGTGGCCTTTTTTTTTAAGTTACTCAAATTGGAAAAGAAAAATTTTAAATTAATACCCATCCTCAACAGCTTGGCCTCCAGTCCACCCAGCTCACACTCGGGGCTCACCATGGGAGCAGCCCAGGGGCTGCAGGCTTGTCTCCAGAGTGAGGGCCGGGAAACCTGGCCTGCGGGCCCGCGCAGCTCACCTGTACACCTCGTTCTCCACCACCTGGCGTCCACACTGCCCATACGCGTTGTTGCCCATGCTGAAGACTGTGGAGCAGACCAGGGTACGTTAGCTCTGTGGACCCTGGGGCCCAGTCAAGGCTGCGCCCCAGCTTTCTCTCCCTGCACTGGGTCTCCAAGGGCACCATAGTGTCAAGTGCTGCTCCTGAGCCCCCCAACCCCAAGGGCAGCACCGGCTCCCCGGGCCTATCAGGGACCCCACTCAGAGGCCAGCACCCACTTCCCTGCCACCTCTGGATGTCCACCATCATCCTGCTAGCCCCAACTCCACCATGGTCCTCCAAATACCCCGGGACCCCCAAAACAGCCCCACAACTCCCACACTCACCACCTTCCTGGTCCGTGAGCACCAGGGCGTGGGCCCGGCCGCAAGCCACTTGCAGCACGCGCGTGTCCTGTGGTCTGTCCAGAGGCAGCGGCACCGGCGACGGCTCCAGAATATAGTCATAACCCCGGCCTGGCAGAAGCGGTGCTCAGCACGGGAGCCAGGCCCAGCCCAGCCCGCCAGCGGCTCTCTGGGTTTTGACTTTCTGGTCCCTTGTTCTCTTGCTAGCCTCTCTCACTGAACAGGGCTGGTTTGGGTACCATTCCCACATGTGCCGTGACAGAGTGGGTGGAATCTGCCCACCCCCACTGCGGTGTTCAGCGGGGCTCCTCGGGTCATTTCCACACACACAGAAGATAATGTACCTCCATAAGAGCCCCTTTACCCCGCAATCAGATCCCCTGTCACCCCATCCTGCCCCGGGCCGCTCCCCACATGCCACAATCACACCACACAGGATACATCTCACAGTATTTTTTTGGGGGGGGGTCCGGTTGTGGGGCCTGAACTCTGGGTCTGGGCGCTGTCCCTCAGCTCTTCAGCTCAAGGCTAGCGCTCTACCACTTGAGCCACAGCGCCACTTCCGGCTTTTTTCTTTTTGCTTATGTGGTGCTGAGGAATCGAACCCAGGGCCTCAGGCATGCAAGGCAAGCGCTCTACCACTGAGCCACCTTCCCAGGCCACACAGTATTTTTTAAGTATATTTTAAATTACATATTTTTTCCCTTTATGCCAAGATGAGAACTTGAACTCAGGACCTCGCATTCTGGATTCTTTCCTGCTCATGGCTGGCATTCTACCACTTAAGTCACACCTGGGTTTTCTGCCTGAGATGGGTTCAAACCACAATCCTCTAGATCTTAGCCTCCTAAGTAGCTAGGATGACAGGCATGAGCCACGGGCGCTGGCAAGCATGCACACATGCACACAGCACACACCTGCACACTTTAGGTCTAGATTCCATGTATGAGGGGAAAAACAGGCTCCTGCCTAGCATACACAGGGCTCCATGCCCAGCTGGGATTACAGCTGTGTGCTACCACACAGGGCTGGAAGCGGGCAGCCACTGGGAATGGGTCCTTCAGCCACCTGGGTAACCACGCTCAGTCTCCAGCAGAAGGGTGGGCATTGCTATTTGCTCCTGGGTGAAGATGTTCCTGTTACCTCCCAGAGTCCTTAGTGAGAGTTCAACTGGAGTCTAGAAAACACTAATGGATTCCTTATCATGGTCACAAATCACCTGGGCTACTTGGGAGACTAAGGACAGAAGAGGCTCTGTCTAAGGCCAGCAGGGCAGAAAAGTCCACAAGACCTCAACTTGATGGAAGAAGCTGGGTGACACAGCACACTCCTGTCATCCCGGCTATAGTGGGAGAATAAAAAAATAAAAAGGAAAAAAAAATAGGAGGATTGTGGTCCAGGCACATATCTGGGCCAAGAAGCCAGACCGTATCTCAAAAAGGGTAACCAGAGCAAAAGGAGGGTTGGTGGTGTGTCTCCATGATACAGCACCAGCCCTGCAAGCCTGAGGCCCTGAGTTCCAATCCCCCCACCTCCTGTCACGCCAACTCCGTTTACTTGCTGTCAGGGGCACAAGGTGCCTTGCTCACTTTGGTCTCTCCGGCTCCTGTGGAAGCCAAGCTGGGAATCCTTGTTGAGGCCCATGCCCCAGACCTTGGTGACGTCTTTGGTCCGAGAGGCTAGCAGCGTGAACCCGTAGCCACAGGCCGCCGAAGAGATCTGAAACCAAGACCCGAGGAAGCATGAATTGGCTGGCGACGTTCACTTCCCCCAGGAGAAAGGCAGGCGCTGCCCAGGTGCACATGAGCAGCAGCACCCACCGCACCCAGCACAGCATCAGCCACCCTGAGCACTCCTGCTCAGCCCTGGGGCCCTCCCCCCCCCAGCCCACCCAGACAGCCCCACACATCTTGGCCAGACCTGCCGGCTGTGTGGCCTGCTGATGGCTCTGCTTCACAGAGGGGTAGGGAGGGTAAAACATAGTCAGTTCATCTGGGCTTGGAGAGTGAGGAAGCTGAACACCACCCACCCCCCAAGTCAGTTGTTTCATAATGCCCAAGGGCTGCCACAGCGCCATGCTGCACAGCCACCTTCTCACATCACCACCACGAAGACCAAAAAGTGTCCCAGCTCCTGATTTTCTACAAGGGCTCTGCTGGGCGTTTCACACGCTGTGTCCAGTCCTCACCACACTGCTGGGACAGGGCAGAGGGGACCCTTCCCACACCACCAGTGAGCAGTCCTCGGGCAGCCTGAGGCGGTCCTGGTTTATACCTGACATCCCAAGGTTCACTCTCAGACAAACTAAATGACGAGGGCTGGTCATCCCAGTAGCCCTCCCCGCCAAAGTCTCAGCAGCTAGTGATTTATCAGAGGCCTGTGTAGTCTCTCAGAGACCCCATGAACCGAACCACTTGAGTAAAAAAGCTGAAGTCAGTGCTCAGGCCCTGAGTTCCAGATCCAGCCCTCCCTCTTCCTCCCCTCTTCTGCAAGATGAGCCCACTTCCTCTCCGGTCTTTCCTCCAGCGTTGCAGCCCACCCACATTGCCCCTTCCCTAACGCCAGAACTTGTCTTCAGAAAGACCTGAGTTCAAACCTTGGGCCTTGCCTCTGCGTCCCTCCCTTTTCTCCTCTACAACTGGAGGTGAGCACCACTGACTGAAAGGCTGCTGGCCCAAACGCCTGGCACGTCGCTGTCACCCCATAAACAGCGAGCTCCCCGCCTCCGACTGAGTCCCCCACGCCCCTCCATCCTCCGCTTCTTGGGAGGAGCGCGCGTGCGCAATGAGACGGAGGCGGCGCGGTGGGAGGGGGTGGAGGCGCACGCGCGGTGGGGACTGGGGGGGAGCGGAGCGCGGGCGCACCTGGGACTCCAGCTCCAGGCGGTAGGGCACGGGCTGGATCCTGCGGCGCGGCCGGGGGGCGCCGCGCGGCGCGGGCCGGGAGCTCGGCTGCACGAAGCTGGGGACGCCCAGCGCCCCCGAGAAGCTGAAGCCCCACACGAAGACGCGGTCGGCGCGGGCCGCGCGCTCGCCCACGTACTGCAGCACGGGCGCGTCCGCCTCGGCCTCCGCCGCCTGCCGCCGGCTTCGCGACCGCCCGGCCGGCGTCCAGTGCCCGCGCGCCAACCCCGGCCGCGCCAGCCCCGGCCGCGCCAGCCGAGCCCCCGCCGCCAGCGCCATCCTCAGCTGCACGCCTCAGCCGACCCTGGGTGCCGCCATCTCTGCGTAACCTTTGACCTCACGTCCTGCCGGAAGCGCCCATGGTAGCAGCCATCTTTACTGAGGGCTGAGGGCAAAGCGCCCGGGGAGCCTGCGCGGCCGCCGTCCGCCATAGCGCCCGGAGCCGAGGCCGCCGTGTGCCGCCTCCCTCTCTGGTCGCACCCCTAAAATGTAAAGTGAGGCGGTGGGGTCGTCCGGCCAGCAATCCCAGCAACTCCGGAGGCTGAGCACTGAGACGCCTATCGACAGTTGACGCCCGGAAAAGCCAGGACTGTTGCTGTGGCTCAAGCGGTAGAGCCCCAGACTTCGGAGAAAAAGCTCAGGAAGCCGTGCTCGGGATCCGAGTTCACACCTCAGGACTTATCAGAATAAACTTATCAAAGTTTAAAAATGAGCCGGGCGCTGGTGGCTCACGTCTGTCATCCTAGCTACTCAGGAGGCTGAGATCTGAGGATCGCGGTTCAAAGCCAGCCCGGGCAGGAAAGACCGTGAGACTCCTATCTCCAATAAACCACCAGAAAACCGGAAGTGTTGCTGTGGCTCAAGTGGTAGAGCGCTCGCCTAGAGCTGAGGGACAGCGCCCAGGCCCAGAGTTCAAGCCCCACGACCGACCAAAAAAAAAATTAGAAATGAATAGCCTGAAGCCCTGGTTCGACGTCTCAGCACCTCGCAAACAGAAAAGGCTGGAGGTGGAGCTGTGGCTCAAGTGGTAGAGAGCTAGCCTTGAGCAAAAGCAGCTCAGGGACAGCGCCCGGCCCTGAGTTCAAGCCCCAGGACTAGCAAACAAACCAAAAAAAATGGCGCTAGGTGAGCCCACCTGGTAGGCAAGGCTTCGCCTTTATTTTGGACACAGCGGGCCTGAACGTGCTTTTCTGGAAAGCCTCGGCCCGAGCCGTGGCGGCTCTGGCCACTGGGCGGCAGTGTCTACCCGGCGTTCGCCTGTTCTCTGAGAGGGAGCTGGAGCTGGGTGTGGCTCCGCCCGGCTCACAGAGCGACTTCCCCATTTTGCACATCAGGATCGGCTTTACAGACAGATTTCTGTTGGCAAAGGCTGTTTTTTTGTTCATTTTGGAAAAGATGGTCCCACAGCAAAATAGAAGCCAAGCCAATGTCGGCTAACGTCCACCCCCCTCCATAAGACAGCCTGTACTGCACTTGGACTGTAAACAGGACTTTCTTTTTGGTCGGTCCTGGGGCTTGAACTCAGGGCGTGGGCCTGTCCCTGAGCTTTTATCACTTAAGGCTAGCGCCCTACCACTTTGAGCCACAGCTCCACTTTCACTTTCCTGGTGGTTAACTGCAGATGATAGTCTCAGGAACCTTCCTGCACGGAGCTGGCTTGGAACTGTGAGCCTCAGATCTCAGCCTCCTGAGTAGCTAGGACTACAGGCGTGAGCCACTAAGCCCCTGCTCAGGACTACTTTATTTTTACCTTTTTTTTCTTTTTTGCAATGGAGTTTCTTTATGTTTTCCCCATTGTTACATTTTTGCCTGTTGGTCTCAAATTCCTGGACTACATGCTCTACAGAACACGCCAACGTGTTTGGCTGGCTTCAATAATTTGAAGTCGACTTTTTTACTTTGGTTAGCCCACGTTTCCATTTTTATCAATAACTTATTTATATGACTAACTGCATTCACTTGGTTAAAAAGAATTATCTAACATTACACAGGGTGCAAGTGGCTCGCACCTTTGTGATAGCTGGGGGAGGAGGAAGGGGGTAGTCAGGAGGATCCCAGTTCCAGACCAGTACAGGGGCAGAAAGTTTGAGAGCCCACTCAACAGAAAAAGCAGGGTGCAGTGATACTCACCTGTCACCCCAATTACACTGGGGGGCAGAAATGAGAGGATCACAAGCTCTGCCCCCCACCACCCCACCAATGCAAACCCAGCTGGAGCAGGAAAGTGCAAGAGACTCTTATCTCCAATTAAGCAGCAAAGAGCTGGAAGTGGAGGTGTGGCGCAAATGGTAAGAGTGCCAGCCTTGGGTAAAAAAGCCAAGGGGAGTATGAGGCCCTGGTTCAAGGATCACTACCAGGACAAAAAAAAAAATGCGATCGAGAATACATGATAAATTTGCGAGTCAATTTCTGGAAGCTGTTCCTCCCGTTTATTGTTGTGCTAATACAAGGTTTCAGCTGCTGAGAATATGCTAATTCTATCAAACATCACTGCTTCAGCTCTTCTTTTCTCAAAATTGACTCTGCTATTCATAACATTTACTTCCTGATAAATTTAAAAATCATCTTGTCAAGTGGCATAAAAACATCCCACCGGATAGGAGATGAGCTGCGTTCAATTCAGGAGGTAATGAGAGAGACTGACTGGGAGACACCACGTCGGGGCTGATTCGCAACCCTGAATGCAGGCGCCACGGTGACTGCGGGCCTCGGCCACGCACCTCTGCCGGGAGAGAAACGCCAACACTCAGGACATCTTCCAGCGCGCATGCGCCAAGTATCCCAGGCACGAATCTGAGCAAAACTCAGAATCGTGAGCCACAATACATCCTCCACATACACCGGCCTCTATCCTAAAAATGTACTCCCAGCCGCGCAGGAGGCTGCAGCTCCAAAGCCGCCCCAGCAGGAACTGACCCAGAACCCAGCTCTAAAATAACCCGCAAAAACTCGGTCGGGTCCGGAGAGAGGCTGGAGAGGCAGAGCACGCGATGCAAGCAAGCAGGCGCCCGCGCCGTCCGCAGGGCCCGCTGGGCCGGGCGAGGGCGGCGCGAGGCGAGGGTGGTGACGTCAGCG